GACCTCGCCATCCCTGGGGGGCTGCGATTTGTGAAACTGTCGCCACTTTCGCGGCCTGCTGGGGGGCCCAGCACAGTGACGCCACACGCAGATTCAAATTTGACCTCGCCATCCCAGGGGGTTGCGATCTGTGAAGCTGTCGCCACTTTCGAGGCCTGCTTGCGGGGCCCAGCGCAGTGACGCCTCCCAAATAGCTTACACATCAAGTTGATTGTCCACACAAGTTTCGGCCAACTCATCGTTTCCACTGATACAAATGGGTTGGGTACGTCACAGGGTAATTCAGACATTTGCGGATCGTCTTCGCGCAGCTGGCGACGGAGAAAATGGAGTCCCAGGAGTCAGGGGGCGGGGGGGGAGACAAACCGGGGGCGTTTAGGAAAACGTTGGCAGATGCTTACTGCAAGTACGTCTGTAGAGTGTTGTCCCTGGCAGCATGAGTTGGTTAGCTCCGGCTGAAACCGTTCGTGCCCCAGGGGGGCTCAAGTTCCACGGCCAACAGTAACGGTCTGGACGTTGGTTGGCCGGGGGCTGGTGGAGGGGTGGACGTTCGAAGGTCATGGAGAAGCCAGGGCGTAGCCGTGAGTTGTGTCACGGAATACTCGTTGGCCCCTTGCCGCGTCACGTTTTTGGCGTTAGTCTGAGGGGATGGCCGTTTGGATGTCGCCGCCCGTCGTGTTTGACTCTTGTCCTCCTTGTGGGCCGCGCTGCAGGCGAGCAGGGAAGCATGTGCGAACCTTCGGTGGGAACTTGGCGGGCGCGGGGTGGGCGGTGGTGGGGGGGTCGACAGGTAATGTACCGAATGTGCGACGCAACGCGCTGGAAGCAAAAGTGCCCAGTGCTTATGAGGTCACCTGTTCTTTTGCCTCTGGAAGCATGAGTAGGTTAGCTCCGGCTCAAAACGTTCGCGGCGCCGGGGGGTTCAAGTTCACGGCCAACAGTAACGGTCTGGGCGCTGGTTGGCCAGGGGATGGGGGGGAGGGGACGTTCGAAGGTCATGGGGAAGCCGGAACGTAGCCGTGAGGTGTGTCACGGAATATTCGCTGGCCCCTGGCCGTGTCACGATTTTGGCGTTTTCCTCCTTGGGGGCCGCGCGGCAGGCGAGCAGGGAAGCATCCACGAACCTTCGGCTGGAACTTGACGGGCGCGGGGTGGGCGGTGGGGGAGGGATCGATAGGTAGCGTACCGAATGTTAGTTGGGGGATGCCTTTGACACCGCCTCCTACTTCAACGTGGCGCAGACTGGGCGTCGGACGAGGGAGGGGGGCGGCGGTGGTGGGGGAAGGGGGGCCGGTCCGCAAGTAGGTTTCGTGTGTCGTGGAACCCCTGTGTCCAAGGGGCGGCCGATCGGTTTGTTAGGCTGGGTAGGGTGTTGAATGCCAGACAGAGGGTGCCAGTGGTCGACATATGGGGCACTGGCCAACGAGAACCCCCATATGTTGACGTGCAAACGTACCTCCATGTACATACATTTTAGTTCTTAGGGCCTGTAGGAGGGAGCGGGGGGGGGGAGGGAGATGGATGGGGCCGGCAGTTCGACGCCATCCCGTTCCATCATTGTGTCAAGTGTGTGTGTGTGTGTGTGTGTGTGTGTGCGTGCGTGTGCGTGCGTGCGTGCGTGCGTGTGTGTGTGTGTGTGTGTTTGTGTGTGTATGAGTGGCTTGATATGTACATGAGTTTCTAAGGCGGGTGGGACGTGCGCACCGCGCCAGTGTGTAACACGTCCAGAATGTTGATATATTCGCGCCCCTGTTGACCCTAATCCCCAAATCTCGAACACTGAACACCCTTTATCACTTATGAATTCAAATGCTAAACAAGAAAGTACCCCTTGGTGTCCGCTCTCGGGGGCTAGTTCCTAAACCCCCATTCCATGCGTGCCCGCGCGCTGATTCAGCCCCTCCCGCATGGCGGCTAGTTCTTAAACCCCCTATCCCATGCGTGCACGCTCGAGGATCGCGCCCCTCCCGCTCAAGGACCGCGCCCATGCGCATAGCGGCTAATTCTTAAATCCCATATCCCATGCGTGCCCGCCCCAAGGTCGCGTCCCTTCCGCCCTCGGGGGCTAATTCTTAAAAACCCATTCCATGCTTGCCCGCACACGGATTCTGCCCCTCCCGCGTGGCGGCTAATTCGTTAGCCCCCTATCCCATGCGTGCCCGCTTGAGGATCGCGCCCCCCCCCGCAAGGATCGCGCCCCTCCCGCGCGGCGGCTAATTCCCAACCCGTTCATTCCATGCGTGCCTGCTCGAGGATCGTGCCCCTGCCGTTCGAGGATCGTGCCCGATCCTGCGTGGCGGCTGAATCCCAAACCCCCACCCCACGCGTGCCCGCTCGATGATCGTGCGCTTCCCGCTCGGGAGCCCCCACCCCCCCCTCCAGACACTCCGGAACGATGTCTCGCGCCTCTCCCGAGGGCCGCCGCGCGCGGCGCGCCTGTGCTGCTCCTCTTGCCTGCTGTTCCTCCCGCGTGCTCCGCGCTGCTCCTTCCTGCTCCTCGCTGCTCAACGCGGCCTTCCCCGATGGCTTGCATGCGCCAGAGAGTGTGTCTTGATATGTAAATGGGTTTCTAGGGTGGGTGGGATGCGAGCACTGCGCCAGTGTGTGACACGTCCAGTATGTTGACATTTTCGCGCCTTGTTGACCCGAAACCCTAAACACCCTCGAGATTTGAGCACCTGCTGCTAGTGCCATGGTGCGTTCCCAGTTTACAATATTCCCTCATCGGTGCTTGCACTGAACGGGTCCACGCGGACGTTGACGGAGTTGGCGAAAGTGTCCCGCCGATGTTGGTTGCTGGCTGGGCTCCTGGGTTCCCGGTTCTGGGTTCCCGGGTTCCCGGTTCCGGGTTCCGGGCCGATTTCGGAGGTCGGCGAGGTTCCCGGGTTTCCGGGTTCTTGGTCGATCTTCTTATCGATCAGTCTCACCATCGATCTCATGATCCAGTTTTTTATCGATCGCACAATCGATCTCATTATGGATCTCACAAGCGATGTCATTAGATATCGCATGAGCGACCTCGCGCTCGATCTCACTATCGATCTCATTGAATCGTTTTTTTGGGGTCTCACGATCAACCTTACAATCGTCTTCACTATGCATTACACTATCGATATCATTATCGATCTCACAATCGATCTCAAGATCCAGAGTATTAGTTTTCAAGCCATCAAGTCATTAATTGATTGGGGTTTTCTCAGGTATAGTGAGATCGATGGTGAGATCGATAGAGAAGTGGGTAATGATTTCGATGTTGAGACCGATCGATAAGAAGATCGGCCAGGAACCCGGAAACCCGGGAACCTCGCCGACCTCCGAGATCGGCCCGGAACCGGGAACCCGGGAACCCGGGAACCCAGAACCGGGAACCCGGGAACCCAGCCAGCAACCAAAATCGGCGGGACATTTTCGCAAATTTTTTCAATGTCCGCGAGGACACCTTCACTGCAAGCACTGATTGAGGAAAAGAACCAGGAAACCGGGAACCCAGCCAGCAACCAAAATCGGCGGGACATTTTCGCCAAATCTTTCATTGTCCGCGAGGACCCCTTCAGAGCAAGCACTGATTGGGGAATTTCTTGGAGAACGTTGCACTGCGATGGCAGAGAAAACAGCTGCGGGGAGAAACATACAAAAACACAAATATAACATACTGAGTTCAAGCAACACGCCACTCATGGTGGGAGCAGGAAGGGCGAGGGGAGGGCAAGGAAAGGAAGAGAGGGGGGATACGTAAACAGATGGGTGCCGAGACTGATCATTGTAACGTGCGGACGCGTGCCGGACCCTAGCTCGCAACCGGTTCAATACAAGGTCGCCCTCAGGAGACGCGTCCCATAATCGTACCACAACCTTCCGCATCAAAAGAGGGGCAATCACGTTATGGACATGCTTTATGTCTCAGGGCCGCCTGTCAGCGAGACAGTGGTACATCCACGAATTCCTCGTGTGGGTCAACCGCGGGCGGTACACAAGGCAGCCTCCATGAGCACGCTGGCTTTCCATCGTCTGCGAATCCACCCGATCAGAGCAGTGATGCCGACACTGACGAGGTGGTGGGAGATGGCAGACAGAGGTTTGAGTTGTGAGAGTGGGGCATGCGGGAAGGGTTCAAAATATCCTGTGTGAATACCAGGGTCTCCTCCTCCCAAGTTGCTGGTGACACTATCTTGCAATGCATTGCAGCCGCCTGCCATGTCGAACCATCTAGGCCCATGCCACCAATTGAGCATCTTCCACGCTTTGTAGGATGGTAGGATCCGGGCGATCCAGTCTCAGACGATGGCGGCGTTGGTCTCGATGCCAATCCGGGCAGCAACTGCTAGGATGAGAAATTGCACAAACATCCACACCACAGTAGACAGGATAGCTGATCTGACACACCCACATATGCTAACACTCCTGGCCACGTGGCCTTGGATTGTGCTTGCCGTAGCGCTGGCCTTCGCCTTTTCTGCGGTGTCTCGGGGGTGCGGTTGGAGCTCGCTCCCAGCCTAGCCTCCGCTCTGTTCTTTGCCCCTGCTGTTGCTCCCCGTCCCCCCCCCTTCCCCCTTGTCTGCGTCTGCAAGCAGGGATGTAGATACGTATGCACCTACACGACTTACACCGACACATACGTAATCATTCATTCGGGCACCTACATCGAAGAAGCCCCGAACGTGTACAACCCGATTCCCTTGCTCCCACCCTCCCTCACCCTCTGCTCGTAGCACGGCCTCGAGTGCGCGGCCCTCTCCTCTCTCAGTGGGCTACGACTTTGAGGGCGCAGCCAGGGAGGGCTGCTCATGTTCCGATTCGATCCGAGCCGATCTTCACATGAGCCAGCTCCCTCTCTGGCCTACAAGGGCCGAGCCGATCCGCGATCCCAAGCGATATCCCTATCCGAGTCTGCGCCGATTCGGGCGCGATCCTTCTTATTTCCGCTCCGATCCGATTCTTCTCTTCGAACCTTGAGCGATCCTCCCCGCTGCACAGCTCGTGCCGCCCCGCCCTGGCGACAGGGATCGCCTGCGATCAGCACTGCGGGGTGCCCTGCTGGATCGAGGAGCTCCCCGCCGCTGCCGTGGCGGCGCGGGCCAGGGCGTGGCGCGCTCGTGTGTGGGCCCCGCGGGGGCGGAGCGTTGCGGCTGGCTGTTCTCGGGGGGGGCCTTGGCAGGCGTAAGCAGGGTCAGACGAGAAGTGGGGGATTGGGGAGGGGGCGGAGTACAACATTTGCCGCATGCAGCTGGTTTCGGCCCCACCGCAGGGCGGTGTCCTCGGTACAATGGCGCCTGCGGCCTGAGGTGTCGGGGAAAGCAGCTGCGTGAGCCGATTCGCTACCCCCTTTTTTGCTACCCCCCTGACGTCCGACCTGGAGGGCTGCCAGCTGTAATCCTGGACGTGGATAGAGCAAGATCGCGTCGCGTTCACGCGGCGGCGACCCCGGCGCGGTTGAACGCCGCCTGTGGCTTGGAGTCGGCGGACAATGGACGGCCTGCATTATCGGAACGTTGCTCTCGTTCAAGGATGAGCGACCCACGTAGTGTCAGAAACCAATTTCGACGCCATCGTGACGTGAACCTGCCGTGCAGGCGAAGCCTCGTCTCCCCTCCCGCTATTGCGCTTGCCTCCCCTATCCTACTCAGTTCGCTGAGTCGAGTCCTGGAGCTTATTTGCGTATTAGCGAAGTCCGAACCCACGGCAAATTTACCTAACCTACGATTTTATATTGATTTCTCTTCCCAGCCAGAATCCACAGGAAGCGCATGATTTCGCAAAGACGGGCACTGTCATATCCAATGGTAGAAGACAGGGGATTGAAAAGGATCTGGCCCACGGCGCTTTTTGTTCGGCGGGGCACAACGTCCCCGTCTCCAGCCAGAGGTTGCCAGGAGTCATCTACCCGCAAGGTACCCTCAGCTTCCCAGCACCCGGAGGCCGCCAGATTTTCTCGGAAGAGTTGGGGTTGACCTGAGCCAGGGCCACCTCTTCTTTGGAAAGGCCCGAGGCACAGCAGCGAAGAACCCCCTCCCTGGCCTGCCCGGACCCCTCCGAGGGGGGGTCGGCGGTGCGCAGGAGGGGCTGGCGCGAGGGGGAGGGGGCCTCCCAGGAAGGGTGCCCCCCCTCGCCCAAACAAACATATGGTTGCGCGCCGCCAAGCGCTGATGGGAACGGTTCCCAGAAACGTTTCCAGGAACATTGTGGTATCATGCAGACGCCAATCAAACAGTCGTCAGGATTGCCAGAATTTGGCGTTCTACTCTTGTGTTCGAGGGACACCATGTTAGGAATTGGTTTGGCGGTCAGGGTGCAACTCCACACATTAGAGGGCACCACTTGAAGCTGCTGCAGCTCTACGGATGGGCGTGAGAGCTCGGCCAGATCATCCTGGCCGAATCGACCCAGTAGCAACAGAGCCACCTCTTTATCGTGTGTTCGCCGATCGGGCCCAGAGGGATGGGTCCTTGAGGATAGGAAACAGCTTTCAGGCTGAATTTCCATTGTTCAAGGCCTCCTCGCCTAAAGGCCCCATGTCTCAGGGCCCCATCTCTGAAGTGCCGACTTTACGTGTGAGGAGGCCAGGGGCTTGCGCATGCGTATGCATATGCGATGGTTGTTCACACAGCCGCGTCTCTGTACCCAGCTTCACGAATCAAGCATGGGCACGAAAAAGGCGGCCCGTGTGGAGACCGTCCAGGTTTGGTGTCCTCGCGAATGCGAAGTTCAGGCTAGTACGAAAAGGTTCGTCCTCCTTGACGACGACGACGACGACGACGACGACGACGACGACGACGACTACTACTACTACTACTACTACTACTACTACTCCTACTCCTATTCCTACTACTACTACTACTACTGCTACTACGACTACTACTAGTAGAAGTAGTAGTATTACTACTACTACTACTACTGTACTACTACTACTACTACTACTACTACTACTACTACTACTACTACTACTACTACTACTACTACTACTACTACTACTACTACTACGGCTACTACTACTTCTACTTCTACTAGATCGACTACGACTCGTACTTTTACTACTACTACGACTACGACTACTACTACTACTACTTACTACTACTACTACTACTACTACTACTACTACTACTACTACTTTACTACTACGACTACAACTACGACTACAACTACTACTACTACTACTACTACTACTACTACTACGACTACTACTACTACTACTACGACTACTACTACTTCTACTTCTACTACATCGATTACTACTATTACCACTACTACTACTACTACTACTACTACTACTACTACTACTGGTACTACTAGTATCATACTATTATTCCTACTACTACTACGACTACTACTACTACTACTACTACTACTACTACGACTACGACTACGACTACGACTACGACTACTACTACTTCGATTCCTACGACGACAATTACAAACTACTACTACTACAACTACTACCACTACCACTACCATTACGCCTACCACGTCTATGATTATTGTTAGTTCTACTACTACTACTACTACTACTACTACTGCTACTGCTACAGCTGCTACGTCTACTACTACTTCAACTACTAGTACTTCTACTACTACTACTACTACTTCAACTACTAGTACTACTACGACTACTACTACCACTACTACTACTACTATTACTACAACTACTACTACTACTACTACTACCACTACTACTACTATTACTACTCCTACTACTGCTGCTGCTGCTGCACCAACAACAACAACAACGACTACAACTACTACTACCACGATTACTATTACTACTACTACTACTACTACTACTACTACGACTACGACTACTACTACTACTACTACTACTACTACTACTACTACTACTACTATTACTACTGCTACTACTACTTCTACTTCTACTACTACTACGACTACTGCTACGAGATCTCATTCTAAGACTGCTTGCGCTACAAGTACTACTACTACTACTACTACTACTACTACTACTACTACTACTACTACGACTACTACTACTACTACTACTACTATTACTACTACTACTACGACCTACTACTACGACCTGCTACTACGACCTACTGCTACAACTACTACTAATACGACTACTACTACAAGTACTACTACTACTACGACCATCACTACTACTACAATTACTACACCCACTACGACGACGACGACGACTACTACTACTACTACTATTACCACTACTACTACTACTACTTCTACTACTACTACGACTACTACTACGACTACTACTACGACTACTGTAGTAGTAGTAGTAGTAGTAGTAGTAGTAGTAGTTGTAGTAGTAGTAGTAGTAGTAGTAGTCGTAGTCGTAGTCGTAGTCGTAGTCGTAGTCGTAGTCGTAGTCGTAGTCGTAGTCGTAGTCGTAGTAGTCGTCGTAGCGTAATCATAGTAGTTGTAGTTGTAGTCGTAGTCGTAGTAGTTTTGGCGAGAACACAACGCAGTTTTGTTCGTTGTCACAAAAACGCGGACCTGGGAACCTTCTACCCCTGCCGCCCCGCCGCTGGCGCCGCGGTTCGCCGCGGTGCCTGTGGTGGGGCGGGTTGGGTCGGTTGGGGGGTGCGTTTGGGGTGGCTCGCCTCAGGTCTTCATGGACTTCGTGTTCCTCGTCTTGTTCGTGTTCTTTGTCCACGTCTCCCTGCGGTGGGGGGAGGGTAAATATACCCCCGCGTCGCGCGCGCTGCCCCGAGGGCGCTTGTGGGCCGAACGCGAGGCTGGCGCCCCCGGTGCGCGCGTCGCGGGCCGCCGTGGCGGCTTTTGTTTCAGCCGTCCCCTTCGCCGCTCCTTTGGTTGGGGTGGGGCGCGGGGTGTCGCTGCACCCGCGCGCTCCCGCGGGGAGCGGCGAGCGACGAGTGCGCCGCTCGCCCCCCCCCGCGGGCGCGTGCCTACCCAACGCGCAGCGCTCCCCGCGCTCTCCCCCAACCCTCGGGTTTTCCAGGGTAGCGTCTTTTGTGATTACTCGTCGTAGGAGCAGTCATTGTAGTCAACAGCTGTAGCATTAGGTTGTGGAAGTGGTACACGCTGTAGTTGTAGTAGTGGTGCCATCAGTGCCACCAGGACTGCAACGGACAGCAGCACTACGATATTATCTTGCGCTAGTGATAACATGTTTTCTGCTACTATTGTTGTTGTTTTTTTGTTTTATTGCTCGTATTCGTCGGCGCCGCCAGTCGTCACCGCCGGTCGTCGTTGTCGTCGCCGCTTCGTCGTTGTCGTCGTCGCCGTCGCCGGTCGTCGTCGTCGTCGTCGTCGTCGCCGCTGTCCTGGCCGTTCGATGTCGTCGTCGGCGTCCTCGTTCGCGTTATCTTTGTCGTTGTCGTCGCTGCTGGCTGTCGTCGTCGATCTCGTCTTCGTGGCCTTTGCCCGTACTCCTAATACTGCGAGTGCTGCTACTACTGCTAGTACCATGCCCGGGCCCGCCACATCACCGTTATCCCACCACGACGGCTGCACCCCCTCCTACGGATGCATGTTACGGGGGGGACTATAAACGATCTCTTCCTGGATGCGCCTCAGACTGGACTGCGGTAGGCCACGTGGCGCCCTGTGTGCGGGCAGTGCGCGCTGACTGTGTGGGGGCGCGGTTACCGTAAACGCCCAACGGCCTCGGGCCGTTGAGACCTCGAGCTTGCGGCGGGGGAAGAGCGCCCGCCCAGCGTCGAGCTGGGCGCTCAGGAGGATCCCTGCGGGGGCACGGGGCCAGCAGCTGTCGGGGGATCGGGCCTGGTATTAAGCGTAGTCCTGACGAGCCCGCACTTCCGCACGTTTTTATGTTTATGACCTTTTGTTTCCTCTATCTTTGGGGTGGTGAAGGGATGAGAGAGCGTTGGCGTGGGAGTAAGGGAGCTGAAGACAGAAAGACCCGCCGCCGCTCTCGTCGACTCTGGCGCCCTCGAGCGGAGGCCGAGGCGCTCGCTCTCGCAGCGGCTGGAGCCTGGCGAGGGCCTTTGAACCACTGTGCCAAGGGGCTCTCAGGGGCGTCCAACAGGGGAGCGAAAACTAGATTGTGTGTGTGTGCGCTCATGGCCCGGCCCATGGCATCTCCCCAAGATTGCC